GCTGGGTTTCGAAATCGGCCAGGCCCGCTCAATTTATGTACGCCTAAATCGGTACCGATCTGACCTGGTTGGGTGTAAGAGTGTCAATTGAAACATGCACGCATAGTAACTATCCATCATACTCCTCATGGTCGACCAGAGAGATAAATACAGTAAACTATGTTCCATTAAAAGCCTCATCCATTTTACTATACCGAATGTGTGCGTCATAGTCGATTTTTTCTCTCACGTTAAACAGTGAACTCACTGAGGCCGAGAAATTCACTCTGCACACGTCTCGCACACTATTTTCCTCATTCATTGCCCTCGATTTGAACTGTGCAATTTATTCTCCGCATAATGTTTTCTCTCACATTTCCATTCTTACGGGACATCCCTTATTCAGACTCTTGAGTACAGCGTTACCACGGCAATCACATTTTCCTAAGTTTCAACATTATGCTTATCACATTTGTTGTCTTCCTCTTGACGATAACATTTCGCTTGTGTGTGTGTGTGTGTGTGTGTGTGTGTGTATCACCAGTTTGTTGAATGAGGACTTCGAACACTTGTTGATTATATTTAGAGATACAAATTTTTACAAAAAAATGTGTATCGCCACTTCAACGGTGTGAAAGTAATGTGTGGGACGAATTTCAGTCTACTACTAGGAAAATTTACAATTTCTAGATCAGAACAAGATATATTTAACTGTGGATGAGCGTATGTTGGCTTGTTACACACACGAGCTGCTCAATACATACATTAACCACTACATTTTCATGGAATAAATTTCCCTGTAACTTCTTCCTTATGTTTTCGAACAATTTACACTCTCCTACGTTTAATCCAGTTTGCTTCGGGGTTGGCGTATGGTGGACGAGAGTCACTGGCCAGTTGGCGCTGTGGGTTGTTATACAGACCCGTCCAGTTTTAACGAACCGTTCATTCGTATGGGACCGACCGACTACAATTCGACCACATCCGTTCTCACCAGTCCGAACCATTTCGGCCAGAATACCACCACGATCGTCAACGGCACAAACGGTTCAAATCTATCCTCTATCCCGGTTCCTTTACCGGTTATGCCAGATCGGGTAAGCGCATCTACATTTCCATTTCTCTGAGCTCTCGCTCTATGCTACGGAATCTGTGACCGTTTGGTTGTTCTGTCAACGTGGTCGGCCCCGTTTCCGTCCCACCAATAGATGTGCTCGCTTTTTGTTCCCAGTGCGATTGAATCGGTTGTCCGAACCCACCCTAATGTGTCCGCGCAGATTAATCACAAGCACAGACCAGTCATAGGCATCTTATCTGGTACAAAGGATTTGGGGTTTTGTATTCGTTGTTGTGGTTGGCTAGTGTGGGATGGAACTGTTGACGGGCACGAGGTTCTCCGTGGGGGGATGAACTGTCAATTTGCATGAGAGAAGACTTGCAAACACCGTGAACCAGGACGTCTAGTGCGCAATGAACACGACTCGCAAGCGAACGGAGTTGCCAAACGTG